TTTCTTAATTTATTCAAGGGTTCTTTTATGTCTTGTTTTTATGTAGCTATTGGAAAATTTTTAAATTTATGCCCTTGCATTTTAGATTTTGTTATTAGACTCATTTTTAAATACTGTTTTTCCTGATGAGTCACTCGAAAATCTGTTCAATGTGTAGATAACTCAGTGAATTTCTTAAGTTATATTTAGGTCTTATTTTTCAGTGGGTAATAAATATTTTCAGTATAGAAAATTCTGTCATTTGTAAATTATTAATATTGCTTCTTTTAAAATCTGTATTGTGTAGAAACCTTAGAATAATTTTAAATGAGAAAACATCTTTTATGGGTCTTTATTTCTAGTGTTTCATCTTTAAAGATGGTATTTGTTCTTGGTTTCTGATAGCTATCCTCTCTCATGTTAACAGAGTTTCATTCTGTTCCTGTTTATTGAGAGGTTTTATCAGTAATGGTTAGGACTTTTGCAAATGCCCTTTTGGCATTTATGCAGATTAACCATATGGCATTTTTTGAGCCAAAAAATCTTTTTGTATTGCTTTCCTTATTTTAACAATTTTCAGAATAACGAGTTGGTTTCTCAACATCCTGTTAACAGAGATCAGTGAGGTTTTTTTTTTTTTTTTTGAGGTCTTGGGCTACTGGATTGTTTTCTGTGTCCTTCTGACAAGATGCCGGTAGTCTTTGATAACTTCTTTGCTTTCTGGTGTGATCAAATGTTCTAGGCTCATTGTGTGCATTTTCTACCCCAGACTTGCAATTAGCTATTTCCTCAAGGAGCCTAGGTTCCTTTTGTGGGAAATGGTATTTTAGACCATAGTCTGTTTTTCCCTGCCTCAAACAAACAATTTTTGCTTAATTAAATCTAGAATACTTTCAGATTTATGGAAAAGTTGGGAAGATAGTATAGAGAGTTGTTGTATAACCCACAACTAGTTTCCCCCATTCAAACAAACTTTTTATTGTAGGAACATCTTACAAAGGTAGAGAATTCCCCTTGTACCCTGTACCTAGTTTTTTGTTTGTTTGTTTGTTTTTGGCGTCTCCACTCATTTCCTCCAATAATTTTTTTCAAGTTTCAGGTAGTATTTTTTATTATTTGCTTAATCAAGGTATATTGATGTATAACATTATATTGGTTTCAGGTGTATGCATTGCAAAATGATTACCACAATAAATCTAGTAGAGATTTGTGTGTGATGAGTACTTTTGAGATCTCCCTTAGCAACTTTCAGATATACAATTTTTTAAAAATTGGGCATGGAGTGAGCTTGAACTCATGACCCTGAGGTCAGGACCTGAACTGAAATCAAGAGTTGGTGCTTAACTGATTGAGCCACCCACAATATGCGATTATTAACTGTGCTCATCATGCTGAACATTATATCCCCATAACATATTTGTTTTATAACTGAAAGTTGGTACCTTTTGATCCCCTTCACCCATTTTCCCCCACACCGCCCCATCGGAACCACCAGTCTGTTTTCCGTATCTGTGAGCTTGGTGTTCTTGTTTTTGTTCTGTTTTTAGATTCCACATGTAAGTGAGATCCTATGGTATTTGCCCTCTTCTGTCTGAATTATTTCACTTAGCATAACGCCCTCAGGGTCCATCCATGTTGTCATAAAATGGCAAGATTCCATCCTTTTGTATGGCTGAGTAATATTCCATTGTATGTGTGTATAGAAGCTGCTGTAGATATACAGCTGTGAGGGGTGTGTGTGTATATATACACAGCTTCTTACTTATTTTTCCATTTATGGACACTTAGATTGTTTCTGTATCTTGGCTATCATATTTGAATAATGATACAATGAACTTGGCAGGAGTGCATATTTGGGTTAGCGTTTTCATTTTCTTCAGGTAAATACCCACAAGTGGAATTGGTGGATTTTTGGTAGTTCTATTTTTAATTTTTTGAGGAACCTCCATACTGTTTTCCATTGTGGCTATACCCATTTACACTGCCACCAACAGTGCACAACAGTTTTCCCACTTCTCTCCATCCTTACCAACTTTTGTTGTCTTTTGGAGTGGCCACTCTAACAGGTATGAGGTGATAGCTCAGTGTGGTTTTGATTTGCATTTCCATGATGAGTAGTGATATTAAGCATCACTTCATGTCTCTATTGGCCATCTATATGACTTTATTTGAGAAATTTTCTGCCCAATTTTTTTAAAGTTTTTATTTAAATTCCAGTTAGTTACCACACAGTATAATATTAGTTTCAGGTGTACAGTTTAGTGATTCAGCATTTTCATATGACCCCTGGTGCTCATCATAAGTCCACTTGTTTATCCCCATCACTTTTTTAACTCCTCCTTCCACTCATCCCCCTTTTGGTAACTATCAGTTTGTTCTCTGTAGTTAAGAGTCTTTCTTGGTTTGCCTCTATCTCACTTTTCTTCCCCTTTTGCTTGTTTGTTTTGTGTCTTAAATTCCACATATGACAGAAATCATATGATATTTGTCTTTCTCAGACTGACTTATTTCATTTAGCGGAATATTCTGGATCTAGAACCATCTGTGTCATTGGGAATTCAAAAACTACTTAAAATGAAGATGTAAATTGTTTTAATATTGTAGTTGGGATAGGCAGTGTTAATATAAATGTGATCTGTCAATTTCCCTCAGCAGTTCCGTTCTCTACCTCCTATTATACATCCTAGCAGATGGAATATCTATTTACAAAGTTTGTGTTGATCTTTACCATGACTTCTGACCTATTAGAACTTCCCAAAATTCTGGACTGCTTGTGCAGTTTCCATCTCATATGTAAGAGTTGAAGAGTAGTCTCAAGGAAATCTTTTTACTCTTTGGTTATTGCATGTAACTATCATATTTACTTCCTTAATGAGGTTTTCTAAATGTAGCACCTTCAGCTTGCCTTCACTCTTGTATGTGATGTTCCAATTATATGATGACTCATGTTTAATTTTTTAAATAGTGTTGTTACTTTAAAGAAACAAGGTTGATTTAAAGTCCTAGTCTTTTTTTTTTTTTAACTTTTTTTTTTTAAGATTTTACTTATTTCTGCGAGAGAGAGAGGGAGAGAGAGAGCGTGTGCAGGAGCACGAGAGCTTGAGAGTGTACATGCAAGCACTCGTGGGAGCAGAGGGAGAAGCAGACTCCCTGCTGAGTAGGGGGCCCAATGTGGGACCTGATCCCAGGACTCTGGGATCATGACCTGAACTGAAGGTGAATACTTAACTGACTGAGCCACCCAGGCATCCTAAAGTCCTGGTCTTAATTTGTATTTTTTGTTTAGATATTTTTAAAATTTTGTTTATGTATCTTTTTCTTTTAAGATTTTTATTTATTTATAGGCAGAGAGCGAGAGAGCACAAGCAGGCAGAGCAACAGAGAGAGAGGGAGAAGCAGGCTCCCCACCGAGCAGGGAGCCCGATGTGGGGCTCGATCCCAGGGCCCTGGGACCATGACCAGAGCCAAAGGCAGTTGCTTAACCAACTGAGTCACCCGGGTTCCCCTGTTAATATATTTTTCTAAAAATCAGTCCTGCCAACATATTTCTCTCTGGTTCATAGAATTTCCTTAAAATCAGTTAGCGAGCATTTATTGAGAAATTCTTTTGTGTAGAGCGTAAAGCAGTTGTCACTGAAGTATTAGAAGACACACTTTGGGAGGCAGCAGAATGGACTAGTAAAGTCCACTTGGAAAAAATTATATTAAAAATTATACTAAAGATATAGACACTGGAGGTTGGTGGAGAACAGTAGCTGAAATCCCTTCTTGGTAGTTTTCATAGCAGGCTCACCTTACCTGGTGACAGCTGAAATTTGGTTGAAGACTGAGTTAAGGGGGATTTCTTTTTGCTTCAGAATGTTCTGATTCTGCATTCATGTTGTGAGCCCTTATCTCTTTCTTCCTTTTTGTTTGTATATTTACAGCAACTAATAGAGCCAGTTGCATTAGCATCCTTTGCCAAATTTATGATTGGAAATAAGTGATATGAGACCTCCCAGAAATCCCATTTTGAGAGCCAAGCTTAGGGTGACTTTGTGTTCTTTTTCGTCATTTCTGTAAAACAAGTTTCCTTAAAGCAAAGAGTAATGTGAAAATAAGTAGAAGGAGGGAAGCAAAGCAATGAATTCTGAGTTAGATTTCTTTAGAAACTGTCCCGGATGTATTCTGTCTGTATGACTGCCTTTGTTAGTGTTCTCATGTTTTAATGTTGCTTACGCTACTGTAGTGTAAGCCAACTTCAACTTAAGTGTTAGGACTGGGGACTCTGGGAAAGGTGCGTTGCGTTCTTGCTTGGCAGGACACTTGAGAAAGCTGTCATAGTCCCTTTTATGCATGAAACCGTGAGTAATCTGTAACATCTTGACATAGGCCAAGAATTTTTTTTCATGTTTGTTGTCCATAGCATTGGGGTAAGATAGATGAAATCTTCATTTTAACACATGGAGGAAATGAAGTGATTTGAAGTGTAATGACCATGCATTGTCTGTTCCTTAATAATTTGAGTTGGGGTGAAAAATTCACTGGATTTTTGGATCACAATTTTTCTTGATTTTATAGATTTATTATTTAGCATTGGAAGTTATGCATATAATTTTGCAAAAGTCTAATTTTTTGTTAGGTTTATTTATGATGATACTGTAGCAGACATTACATTGTGTGTTGATAGGATGAAAAGGAAACTTTTATCGGTTATAAATTATTTCATAGTCATAAAGCAAATACAGGTTTACACTTCAGCATCATCAGATAGTGAGGTGGTTAGTAGAAACTGATAGGCCATAGATTATCAAGATTAATACAGCAGACCATGATTAATGCCATAACTTGAATGTAACTTGGGTGGGCAGTGGCTCTATAAATAGGATCAATCTTAAGTGGTATGTGAAAATGCTGGCTCCTAGCATATACCAGGTGATAAAATGCTGGTAAAATCGGATTTTATGGTATATTTTAGATGGGGTTTTCTTATGCTTGACAGTGACTCTTGGCTTATGTCCTTTTTTCCCCCCTTCCTTTAGAATATGGTTTCTAGCTTTAGGGTTTCTGAACTGCAAGTGTTACTAGGCTTTGCTGGACGGAATAAAAGTGGACGCAAGCATGACCTCCTGATGAGGGCGTTGCATTTACTGAAGAGCGGCTGCAGCCCTGCGGTTCAGATCAAAATCCGAGAATTGTACAGACGCCGGTACCCACGGACTCTCGAAGGACTCTCTGATTTATCCACCATCAAATCTTCGGTTTTCAATTTGGATGGTAGCTCATCACCTGTAGAACCTGACTTGGCCGTGGCTGGAATCCACGCACTGCCTTCCACCTCAGTTACACCGCACTCACCGTCCTCTCCTGTGGGTTCTGTGCTGCTTCAAGATACGAAGCCCACGTTTGAGATGCAGCAGCCATCTCCCCCAATCCCTCCTGTCCATCCTGATGTGCAGTTAAAAAACTTGCCCTTTTATGATGTCCTTGATGTTCTCATCAAGCCCACGAGTTTAGGTAAGTGTTAGAGAAATTAGTTCCTTCCAGATGAGGGAATAACTAAGGCAAGAGGCCTTCAACTAGTGATTAACGATTTGCTGTTAATACTATAAAATGGAAACATTAATGGCAAGTAAATGCCAGATAAAAAATATTGGCAACCATGACTGAAATCTAGTATAGAAACGCTAATTCATCATACCTATATTTTTATAGCTTAGAACTCAAATTACATCTTTGTGTGTAGGAACAGGTACAGATATTGCTTGTGTGTAGTTTGTGTTTTGGTATTTTTACAGATATTTAGTTTCCATTTAACATAGTGTTTAAACTGCTTTCGTAAGAAATAAACCTTTTATACTTAATTCGGCACATGGAGTTTGACACTCGTGTTTAGCTTTTTTAATATCCATCAACTGCTCAGAAAATTTAATTTTATCATTACTAAAAAATGATACGTGGGACTTTAACAAATTCTTACCTACATGATGGCTTCTTTGTTATAATGGTATGATTTCTTATTGCCTAATGAAATTATTTACAGAGGTATTTGGATTTTTTGTTGAAATAAATTGTTTAGGAAATGGCATTTCATAGTTAATTTTGGAGATTCCCCCCCCCCTCATTCTGGGAAAACTCTTTTTATTTCAAGTCATTTGGGAACTCTCTTAAATATGTATCAATGTGCTTTTTTCCTTTTGTAGAAGATTATGCTGCTGTATATCTTGGTTGAGCCAGAAGGAAATTTTGAGGGGTAGGACTGGTTAATGGAGTCAGTATGGCCTGATTGATGGCAGGTCATGGTGGCTGTGCTTTTCTCAGCCCCTTCCTCCTTGCTTTAAATGTTTTAATTTAGCAATACTTAGCCAGGCAGGTAGAGTAATGCATTACATTCATTACATTCATTATGAAGTAAGGATTGTGTTCACCTTTTATTATTTGTACAAAGTTCTTTGAGTAGAATTATTGCATCAAAGAGTAAGAACATTTTAATTTTAGACTCTTGATAACATGTTCCTAAATTAGTTTCCAGAAGAGCTGTGCCAGTTTGCATTACACAAAGTGACAGAGTGTCTCTTATGGCCTTTCTTCCTGCCTTTATTAGGTGTTATTAAAAACAAATCTTGGTGATTTTGACAGGTGAAAGCTTGTGTCTTGTTTAGATTTTTTATTTTTAGAATTAATAACCGGAGCAAACATTTTTAAATGTTTATTACCCAGTTGCCTTTCTTTTATGCTTTTACAGAGATTTAGAAAAAAGATTCACCTGTTTTTTTAAACAGGTTCATTTATTTGGTTAAAATGGTTCCATAATTTTTTTTATTTCCATCTTTGTCATGGTTTTTGGTTTATATCAGTGGAGCATATCATGGCTCATTTCCATGTTTCTTTCTCAGCAGTTACTGCATTTTTTTTTTTTTTTTTTGTATGTATTTTGAGAAAGATTCAGACTGGTAATATGCTTAGGTGCCCCTACCTCATGGGACTCCTCAGGAATATGGCTAAGGTGAGGCTGGGGAAGATGTAAGAGGGCGGTGGGGTTGTAGTTACAGTGAAAGGGACTGAAAGAGACCTGATTGTGTGCCTGGAAAGAAGATGCAGGCATGTGTCTTACCTATTCTTTAGCATCAGTGGTGCACCAAGGGGTGAACTCTGGAGAAGCTTTGTAATTTTCTTTCCGGATTTCTCTGCTTAGTTCAAAGATAGAAACTGGAGTTTTCTGCTTTTCTGTATTTCACAGAGTTTCTCTTTCACTACCTCCACAAGGTTAAAGGAGAGCAGTAGGCATTTTATAAGTTTGCTAAGATAAAATTTTCCTATCTCATTTCACTTAGATAAAATAATGCCAGAGGTATTTTGTGTTGAAGAGTGGCTAAGAAAAACCTGCCTTTTGCTCATAGTTTAAATTAGAATGTAAGAGATAACATGTAACCTTAAGGTTTATGAAATAACTTTTACCCCTGAGCTAAAAACTATCTATGCATATGTTTTTCAAGAGTCCTGCCTATCATTGTTTTTATGAATTTATAGACTGATTCTTGTTTTAAAACAATAAACATTTCCTTATCTTGCCTTCCCTAAGGAGGAAAAAAAGAATTTTCTTAATGTATGTAATCTTGTTATGTCATATTGATAAAACAGTGATCTAAGAAATGCTCTTTTAGACTTGGAGGTAGAAAGTTAGAAAATCCACATCAACATATAGTTTGCCAAATGAAAGTGGAAAAAATTAATCATTTCCAGTAATGACCTTTAACTGAAAACTTTCAGTGTCGCAGTGTCTAAGGCAATGCAGTGACATTCAGAAGCTTCCTTAGTTTTTATTAATTGTTTTATAATTTGAAAATATACATAAAAATAGAAATTCTGCGGAAGTTCATTTGTTTGGAATCCTGCTATCGCGAAACCTGTTTACATTTGGGGATTGAGAATTAAAAATCCTCAGGAGGCCAAAGAGATATCAAATCCATATTTCAAAGCACATATTCTTAACATCTGCAAACCAGTCTGTGTATACTTGATTTTATATACAGTTGATTAGATGATTTCTAAGCCATCAACATATTGTTAAGTAGGAATGAATTGACAACATGAGAGAGACTAGAGGGGCCGTGCTAGCAAAAATAGATAGAAGAGGTCAAAAAATGTTATTCCCAAACCTCTTGGTATATTGAAACTGATAGCCCTTAGTAGTTGGGGAGTTGCTGTTACAGCATGGCCCACGTATTGATGCTTAAAAAGAATCCAAGAAACAACCATGATGTATATATTCTGTATAAGGAGATACATTGTAACATAGTTTTGTAGTTTGGAGTTATTTCTATTCAAAATGGTGAAAATATTTTAGCCTTTAAAATGGCCAATTATGGCGTTCTGAAAAACAAGAGTGTACACAATACTAAATGAAGTTCTCTGTGACTAAGGTTTTACTCTAACAAATGGATAACCCCATAATTCAAAAACTAACAGAACTCTCTGTTCTCCTCCCTTAAATAGCTATTATGGTTTGCTTTCACAGGTTGTCTTTTTCTCTTCTTTTCAGTTGTCTTTTTCCTTCTTTTCTTTTTAGAGAGAACTTTTGAAGATGAAATCCTTTGGGAATTTTCTGTTTAAGAAATTTGTCTTTATTTAGTCTGTACAAAAGAATATGTATAAAGCATTAAGGTGTAAAAAAATCAGTGAAATGAACACTTGTGAAACCACTACCTACTTTTGTTTTTTGTGTTTGTTTTGTTTGAGCTGAGATCAGGAGTCCCACCCCGTGTTCCTCCCACCGCCCCCCCCCCACTGCCTAGTTTTTTAAAAAGGAACATTGCCAGTATCTTCAAGCCATCTCCTTACCTTTTCTGAGTTAAATCACTATTCTGAATTTATATTCCTCTCCTTTGCTTGTTTTACCATGTATGTATTTTTAAAAAGTAATGTTTAATTTGCTTTTGAAATTTATGTGATGATTTTTATTCTTTTGAGACTGGCTCTTATAATCATTGTATGTTGATACATCTAGCTGTTTGGTATTTTGTGAAATACCTTCAGAGTATTTTGAGCCTTTAATTCCTTAAAACTTACTCATTGTGCTTTTCAGATTGCAAAAGTGATTTATGCTAGTAATTGAAAATTCAAACATCATGGAAATATAACAGAAAGGGAAGGTCCCTCATAATGTCCTATATTACCCAGCTGGAGTTGTAGCAGTAGTAAACTGTTTTTCTGCATATGTTGTCATCGTCTGTCTCTTCCTGTTCATTAAAAGAGCTTTTTCCAACTGCAGAACCACTGTGCCACGTTTCTAGTGAGAGAGGATGCTGTTTTACTTGTATCCTCTGCCAATAGCACCTCCTGGAGTTCTGCATCATGATGATCTTTCTTAACAGTGTTTCTTGGAAATACATTATAGATTTGTGGGTTAAATAGATCTTGTTATCTTGTAGATGTACCATCACTTAACCAGTATTCTGTTGGTGGACATTTTGTTTTTTATTTATGTGAAAGTATTTTAGTACCCAGCCTGGTCGGTCATTATTCTTGCAGTTTTAAAAACATTGCTGCTATTAGAATTTTTGCATATGTGCTTCTGAATACCTAGCTGCTGAGCATTTTTGAGCATATTTATGAAGTATAATGCCACTGTGAAGTCAGTACAAGTACTTAATATTTTAATATTCAGCTTTTGTTTCAGCAGTTGCTTCAGAAACCTTATGCCTAACATTTATAATCCAGCAGGGTATGATTGTATTATTTTTCTATACCCTCATCAGCATTGGTCTTTTAATTTATTATTGGCCTTTTAATCTTTAAACGGTGAGACTTAGAAAGAATTAACATTTTTCATATTCTTAAATTCCTGAATATTAGGAAATAACCTCATAAAGCTTTTTGGGTGCAGTTAAACAGGTTTAAAGTGATGTGCAATTAATGGAAAGCCATTAAAATAGAACCTCACTTCTAAGGAGTTTGGATAAATTCAGATACTATACGCATCATTTTTATTAACACAGCTAAAGGGTATGTAATGAGGATTTAATTTGCGTATGGTCATGTAGTCGAATTGTGGAGAAGCCAGAAATATGAGATGGCCATTAGGAAGTTGGTTATCTATTTGGGGAGATAGTATTAACGTGAGAGCCAGGTAGCCATGAGGTATGTGCCTGTATGATGAAGAACTATAAATTGTGTGTCTGAAACTCAAATACTGTATCGGCCTCAGGATCGGCAAAGTCAGTCAAGACTTCTTGGAGTAGGAGTGAGACGTGAAGGAGCTTTGAAGTATGAATTTGTCTACTTTGAATGGATGGCATTTATAGGAGAGGAAACACCAAGAAAGGGGAGAACTGTGAGTAGTCACAGTAGCAGAAATGAAAGTGGCATAGTTGTGAGATCTGACCGAGGAAACTGTTTTGAGTAGAGAGTAAGACTTGGGGAGACACTGGAAATGTGGAAATGGGGAAATGTAGGTTTGCTAGGGAAGAGGAGGGGCCTTTGTTATGGAGACGCTCACAGGTAAAGGAGCTTGGACT